TTTTCGTATGTTTATGTTGGGTTCTTTGTTTAAAATTACTGTGTTTTTAATAGATATACTATGTTTTTTTTGAGCTGCAATGGTGGAAAACATGGGACGGTTTTTGATTGTGTTTTGTGAATCTGGTTTCCAATTTTCTTCCTGTTTCTCCGATGTAGAATTCTGGGCAGTTATTGCATGTTATTTTGTAAATGACGTTGGCATTGTGTGATTCTAAATAATTTTTGCTTAGTAACGGGGTTTTGTGAGAATTTGACGTTGACAGGAATATTGTGTTTAATGGCTAGTTTTGTCCAAGTGTGGATAATTCTTGAGCTGGTTTCAGGGACAAAAGGTAAACTGCAGTGTAATGTTTTGTTGTAGAGTTTGTTAGTACCACTTTTGTTAGTGATTTGAGTTTTGTTGTTGTGAATGTTGGAGAGTTTTTCAACAATAGCTGATGGAAGTTTATTGGTGTGAATGAAGGAATGCTTTATGTGGTTGATTTCTTCATTTATGTAGTCCATTGAACAAAGTCTTGTAGCTGTTTTTATGCGGATTTTCCGTGTATTGATTTTCGTGTGGTGTCATGAGCGGAATTCCAGGGAACGTAGAGGCCGGTGTGTGTGTTCTTAAATTGAATGTTGGTTTTAAACTGTGTGTCCGATCTAATAATGTTGAGGTTAAGAAAAGATAACTATTTATTGTTTTCGTGTTCTATGGTAAATTTGATGTTGGGATGAATGGAGTTTATGAGTTCAAAGAAAGTTAGTGTGTGTTCTGTAGAAGTGAAACCAGCAAAAGTGTCATCGACATATCTGTACCAGTATAGTGGGGGATGAAGCACAGAAGGTATGACTTTTGTTTCTCCACATTATTAGTCTCAAAGTGGGTTCCTCGTAATCGAATTAGGAGGAGTTACGTAACACACACACTCAATTCTATTATATAGAGATATGTTATATTAAATTGAACAAACGTGTATTCATGTTTTTGTAATTTTGTAAGGACCATCAAGGCTTATATAAACACTACTTTGTAATATATATTTATTCCATGATTTATTGATAAACAAAGTTTCTACTGCTAACTACATATGCCATCTAACGGCAATGTTTAGAAATGATTAATAGCGTTTATCTCCCAAGCACACAAAAAACTACGTTGAATGTACAGTTTGGATGTTTCTTATCAATGTATGAAACTCAACGAATTACTAGCAATTCTTCATGCTGAAATCTGTAAGCCTAAGGCAATGCTAGAAAACATGAATTAAAATACTATTTTACAAAGAAGCTGACATATTTCGGCAGTATCTGGTTGTCTTCTTCATGCTTTATAACGTTGTTTCAGTGTCTTAATTTAGTAGCAGTAGTAGTATTATTTAGAAATCCACTAGCACTTAGAGTGAAAACCAGGGGCGGATTAAGGTGGGGGTATTGGGACTATAGCCCCAGGCCCTGGCTCAAAAAAGACCCGTTATAGGGTTTAGCTTTTCTACCTTAGTCTTTGGTCGCGATCATAATAGGCCTGTAGAAAAATTTAGCTCCAAGTCTGTCTGACCCTGAATCCGCCCCTGGTGAAAGCAATTTATTTACATAATGTTTTAACTTCACCATAACTTATATTTAATAATTAATAGCAAACGACCTTCGTTCCAAGTTCAATAATATTTTATTGATTAGATCAGGTGTCTGTAAATGTAATTAATCCATTCTTACAGATGACAGTTCGACAGTAACAGGGCTTCTTGGAGAAGCCGCTGAGCTCCCATGTAACGTCGACGTAGCCTCGTGTGGCGAGGTGTACTTCATTACGTGGACAAAAAACACAACTAGTGAATGGAAAAGATTGTATCTATATAGCGACGACGTCGAGAAACCTCTGCAGGAACTAGCCAACCCAGACCGCGCTGACTTTGTCGTCGAAAAATCCACTGCTCATTTGAGAATTTCTCCGTTACGGATGGAGGACGAAGGGAACTATAAGTGTGACGTCACTTACGTGCAAGGAAAGTGCCCCTCTCTATCTTATGCTAATCTTGTTGTAATTGGTAAGTCAAATCAGGTTTTGTATATTTGTTTGTCTTATTTTCTTAAATCATCCAAAAATCACAGAATCCAAAATGTACTTAAATAAGGTTTAGGTGGAATACCAGAAATTATCTTATAGGTTTTCAACGGATTTCATCCATCGTTTTCATGGGTAAGTCTTCATCAGGAAATTTCAAACGGGTAGAAGAGGTATGTTAAGCTAATCAAATAAAGAAAATAACAATTTGCAATTCGATAAAGTAGTTAATAGTTTATATTTAAAGTAACTTATATCATTGCTTCTTTTCATAAAGCCCCCCAGTGGCACAGCGGTATGTCTGCAGACTTACAACGCTAGAATCCAGGTTTCGATAGCCGTGGTGGGCAGAGCACAGATAGCCCATTGTGTAGCTTTGTGTTTAATCACAAAACAATACAATATATCTTTTCATAAAAAGAATAAAGGAACTCTGGTTATCGCTTTAATTCCACCATATGTGTAGGCATCGGCAAAAAGTCTGAACACTCAAAGTACAGATACTCAAGTTATGAAGACATTTGCAAAACTGTTACTTTCATTTATTAAAATTATAATGTCTGGTGCGAGAAGCTCATTCTGAATGATAAATGTTTAGCAGATCCTTCTCCACCTTTAACTATAAGACCCTATTCATATGACATTTCCTTCCATTCCTGTGACTCAGTGTCCCCAAAGTGAATAAGACTATCACCCGGCATTTCCTTCCATTCTGTTGGCACAGTGTCCCCAAAGTGAACAAGACTATCACCCGGCATTTCCTTCCATTCCTGTGACACAGTGTTCAAAAAGTGAATAAGACTATCTATCACCCGGCATTTCCTTCCATTCCTGTGGCACAGTGTTTCAAAAGGGAATAAGACTATCTATCACCCGGAATTTCCTTCCATTCCTGTGGCACAGTGTTCCAAAAGTGAATAAGACTATCTAGCACCCGGCATTTCCTTCCATTCCTGTGACACAGTGTCCCAAAAGTGAATAAGACTATCACCCGGTATTTCCTTCCATTCCTGTGACACAGTGTTCCAAAAGGGAATAAGACTATCACCCGGTATTTCCTTTCATTCCTGTGCCACAGTGTCCCAAAAGTGAATAAGACTATCACCCGGTATTTCCTTTCATTCCTGTGCCACAGTGTCCCAAAAGTGAATAAGACTATAACCCGGTATTTCCTTTCATTCCTGTGCCACAGTGTCCCAAAAGTGAATAAGACTATCACCCGGTATTTCATTTCATTCCTGTGCCACAGTGTCCCAAAAGTGAAGAATATGTGCAATCTTACTCTTCAAACGAGTACCTGAAAGTGTCAGTGGATGAAAGCTGGAAATTTAGGCTGGCCTTTTCCCCTTCAAACATTTATATATTCAACAGGGCAGTGTGTTTTGGATCGTGGAAACTTCAAACTAGATAATTAACGTCGTCCATTGGGCTTTGCGTGACGAACCAGGATGTCATAATATTGCTTCTTCTGTATAATACTATAAAATATGAACGTATCTCTTACTCCTGCAGCAATACAACACCATCTACCTCTACTGTACTTCGACGTTTTGCTTACACGAAGAGTTGGAACCTCTCAAAGTCATGTCTCCACATAATAACTCTTTTATATTTTGGTTACGCCAGTCTATAACCATTGTCCCATTCGTTCTTCCAACTTGCTAACTTTAAACTATTAATCATATTCATACGAGTAAAATATTGCAACCATTCCATGTAAACTGCTCATAACCTTGAAACAGTTAAACTTTGCTGATTCTATCCTATGCATATCATATATTTCTGCATTTTTTTTACCTAGTGTATTTAAATCGACTGGATGTGGAGAACCTTTTCGTCTGGATAGTTCTTGAGCGCCTCTCCTCTTACTAGACTTTAAACTTCCAGTTACAACAACACGTTTTAGTTTTCTTTGGACTGCATTTTTCATAACTTTATTTTTGAATGTAATATAATTGATTTTTTCTTTTCTCGTGTAATTTCTGCTTGTTTTTAACAGCTTAATACTTTTTCATTGTTATTTTCCTCAGTTTTGGCCCAATATTGAAATTTAAAATGTTTGGATGATGTTAGCACTTCACGGGTCTTTCACCATTGTTACCTCAAGTGAAATAGAAAAATAAACGTATCATTATTAGAACATGTATTAGAGGATCAAGCCTATTCAATAAAAATATAATGATGCCTAGTGGATGACGGGTAAATACGCCGTGATGCTGTATATATAACAACTAAATGTTTTGTCTTAATTACAAAACACTGCGTAGATTATAACATAAAGAGACACAGCAATAGAGATGCTTGTTATTTTACTAGCAGTAATGGACCAGCATGGCCAGGTGGTTAGGGCGTTCGACTCGCAATCTGCGGGTCGCGGGTTCAAATCTGGCCCACCAAACATGCTCGCCATTTCAGCCGTGGGGACGTTATAATGTGACAGTCAATCCCACTGTTCGTTGGTAAAAGAGTTGGTGGTGGGTGGTGATGACTAGCTGCCTTCCCTCTAGTCTTACACTGCTAAATTAGGGACGGCTAGCGCAGATAGCCCTCGTGTAGCTTTGCGCGAAATTCAAAAACGAATAAATAAACAAACAAACTAGCAATAATTCCCATTTATTAAGGTTTGTAGTTCAAAAATATTAGTTTTTATTGTCAAACTCAGGCTTATTGCTCGTAATTTTTCTCTCAAACAACTAGCGCTTCCATTTAGTACAAACAAAAATGCCATATGAAATCAACCAATCACAGAAGAGTTAGGGAGATATATCATGTTCTTCCTCCTTTAGTCGATAAATTCAGCATAATTATTATTCTTTCTTAAAATAAATATGAGTACGTTTACTATGAGTATCGTATCACGTCATTGCAAACTGTCAAGTGTTTAAATAGACCTGGAATTCACGAACCTTTTTTTGCATACAGCTCTCATTCTCTGCTGTGCTTTCTTTTCCTCTGTAAGCTCTTAAAGATGCTGAAAATTTATCGTTCACTAGCTGATACAAACTCTTGACTTCTACAACTTGCTGGCTGTTGCTACGAAGGTCTTAGCATTTCCACCGCTTTAAATCAAGAATGAGTTTTCACTTTTGGGAAATGAATACTAATTCTAGTTGAAGTTAAATGTTAGAGTTCTAACCGCTTTTGCTTGTCAGAGAATTGAGTGAGTTAATTTGTTGATGTCAATTATTTGATCATTAGTAACTTGACTTTCCCTGCTTTCAGTAACGAAGACTAATTCTACCTTAACCAGAGGGTCATAAATCTGATTTTACTGTATTGTCATTTCAAAAATTAATATTAATAACCTGGTTATGTATTGTTTTATAATAAAACACAAGTTTCAAGACAAGTGTTTATAGTTATCTTATTTATTGATGTTTGCTGCTATTTTAAAGTAACTTATGATTAGGAGATTTTAGCAATATAATAAATATATGAAAAAAAAACGATACAAATAATAGGTTCACGTTTTCTGTTGAGTGTATACAATATTACTGTAAGGTTGATACTGCTCAGAATGTCATTCTATATGGGTCAGAATGTTTGGTAGTCGTTGTTTCTTTTAGCGCAAAGCTACATACTGGACTACTTGCACTCTGTCCAACGTGGGGAGTGAAACCCGGATTTTAGCGTTGTAAGACCATAAGCTTACCGCTGACCCACTGAGAGACATTTAATAGTCATTTCTTAAATTTTTATGATGTATCGCTTTCATTTCAATGACCACTCAAAAACAAGCAGCTGAAAAAGTAGTTAATAACAAAAACTGTTTACCTCATCCTATAGTTTCATCTTGGGGTTATTTTTTGTATCGAATCCAATAAATCGATACTCAGTGCTATTCTCTAAGTACGGACAAAAGGTGGAACATGAGGAGGTTACTGATGCTGAAACTGGATTCATCACGCTAATGTTCGTCTTTAGAAACGATTTCGTAGACGTTATATTGTCTCAGTTATCTTACTCAGAACCGAAATTGACATTTAGCGCTCTGAAAATGGTGTTTTGGGTAGGCATACTATTCGATACTGCACGAGCGAACCGTGAGTGTTATCAGCATTATTTTTGATTAATAACGTTAGAAATTCGTAACTTACTGCAAAAATTACAAGTGATCACATGTTTTCTGTATATATTTTATAAATCTTTAACTTGCGAAAGTTGACAGTGAACTAAGAATCATATTTTTTCTTATTCTGTCGATGAAACAAAGTTTATTTCTTTGAACCTGATTTTATCTGTTTTAATTTCTGAGAGATCGAAACAGACACATTATATAATTTATAAAAGAAATTCCAAAATCAAATATTTTCTTGCTAGGAAGCAATTTAATAAGCAAAAAATTTTATTAGTATGTTTAGGAAAAAGCGTTGTCACCTGAGAAAAAACAATCTTTCTGGTATTTCCCTTGCAATTTGAAATATTGGAAAAAAAACAAAACAAACAAACTAAAATTAAAGATATCTATCGAAATTTAGTATTATAGGTTTTTCAATAACAGTAATTCTGTGCATGGTATGAGTACTTCATTGGTCTGAACAACTAGTGATTGATCTTAGCCGCCCAAATATTTGATTATATTACGTAGAGATTATATGTTGCTCTATCACATCAAACTCATACTGATCGTACAGTTTAATCAACTAATGTTAGTAAAGACGTTTTTATGTATTATATATATATTAAAGACATGCTACTTATCAAATTAATCTTTATAAATCCTATTAAGCAAGCACAATAATGCCATTGCAGACGTTAAAACATTAATATGTTTCCTGTGTAGTTAAGTAAACAACGTAGGTTGAAAGTTATATTATTCACTTTTAGAAAATTTTGTGGACAGCTGTTGAACGAAGAAACTACTAAAAGAAATGCGTTGGTGATGAACATGTATGAACGTTAAACCGATTCTGTATTGACAAGTCGTTTTTTAATAGAAGTTATTTTTGCATGTGTCCTACGAATGCTATAATGAAAGATTAATTTAAATAGATTATTTGTATGAATATTTGAATTCAGGAATGTCGTATTCGATTCCAGAGCCTGACTTATAAAGTTTTATAGTCACTGCTATGAAACATCTTTCGTCGTTAACTGTTGAACTAAAAGAAGGCATATTTTGTCAATATAATACCATAGTAATATTTATAGTAGGGATTATGTTTTATTAGTACACGATGAAGTAAAAAAAAGAATTAACAATTAAATATTATTATAAATATTTGATTTTTGACGGAAAACAATCCAATGCTGTTCAGTATTCGAAAATAAGCTACAATCGTAGAAATTCAATAAATGTTTTGAGCAATTTTATTGGTTGGGACAAATAGTTGTGATTGATCTAAACCGCTCAAACATTTTATTATATTACGTAGAGATTTTGTTGCTCTATCACATCATACTCATCCTGATCGTACAATTTAATCAACTAATGTTAGTAAAGAGGTTTTTATGGCAGTGCAAGGATTAGATATCTATATCACATTCGTGCTTCTTATCAAAATTAATGGTTACAAATCTTGTTAAACAAGCACAGTAAAGTTTTCTATGATTTTCAACCTTTCAGGCTAGTATGAGCATTTCGCGATGAGAGAAATGCTTCGTTGATCTTTGTAACACACGTTTTCTATATTCTAGCAAAACCAAGTCCTCCAGTAATAAGTAAAGATGGAAATACATTGAAAAATACTTCAACTGTCGGCCCTTTCCTCGAGGGAGAAACGCTAACTCTTGAATGCAGCAGTGCCGGAGGAAAACCTCCACCAGTAGTGACCTGGTGGAACGGAAGTGAAAGCCTTCCGTCCAATTCTAGTATCAGAGATGAGGAGCTAGGAACCAGCAAAGTGAGATCTTTCACTCGTTTTACTCTTTCTAGAAGCGACTTGGGTGCAAAACTGGAATGTAAAGTGAAGAACGATGCTATTGAACGTGACCTAATATCATGGGTAGAATTTGATATTCACGGTAAGAAAAGTATATAAATGGTAGAAAAGAATAGTTTAAGTATTTAAAAGGTGTCACTTAAGTCACTAATATCGTGATCATATACAGGGATGTCTCTTTTAATGGCAACAACAGTGTTTTAAGGGAGGAATTTGTAAAGTCTCTAATGTTGATCTTTCTGAATTAAACATGAAATAAATGTGTACTAATAAGTCATACTCTATGTCTCAAATAAATAATAAAGTTAAATAATGTAAAAAACGCTTGGTCTAGATAAAAATAAAACAGTGAAAAAAACAATGCTCAACGAACCTTTTTGAAAAAAAAATTCAATAAGTAGGATATAATACTGACGAACGTGTAATCCGTTATATTTATTTTATTATTTTTCTTTTCTATCGAAGGATTTTGAGAAACAAAAAAATTGTCTACTGATACAGACAAATAAATGATGAAATTGATAGATTGCACATTGAACCGTGTTACCAAAGATTTCTGGAAGCATTTTGTAAATATCAGAGTCCAAAGCAAGTGTCCGGAGTGGACACAGTTGATATAGATTGATATTAACATGATCACGTGTACACCAGGCCGTACTAATGTTCAATGACCCATTGTTCCACCACTCTCAGAAACAGGACAATGTTGTTGGCTGCTTTTCTGTCGGTCAGTTTTTTTTTTGGCAGTTGTTGGATGTGGCGGTAACTAATTTACAATAGGTTTTTTCCTGACCAAAAATAAAAAACAAACTTTTTACTGCTAGATTAAGATTTTACGAAAGGAATACAGCTGTTTTTGCAACTGTGCTATAGATTTTCTCCAACTCGATGATTTCAACTCTTAAACGTAACCTGATTTCGTCTGACAGTAATTTAGGTTTCAGTGTTTTTACAGCTTATTACAACTGTCCTACAACTCGATGACGACAACAACAGAACGTAACCTCTGCGATTATGACAATAATTTATGCATTTAACAGAACACTTAATTTCGTTATAAAGATTTTAGTGAAATATCTTTCAACGTTTCAAAAAATATTTCATAGTAACGGGTATAGGTGTATCTTAGTGTGAAAACATTAATAAAAGTGATTATTTTGCTTTAACGAATTAGCTTCGTTTGCTAAAGCAAAATTAAACTTGAACAAGTATAACATGACACATTTTACTTACACGTGATATCTTGAAATCAATAGGTGATGTTTCGGTAAGGTAAATGCATTAATCGTTGCAACAGTTATCTCAAGTGCACTATCTATTAGAGAATCATGAAATGAAGGCGACACACATCAAAAGACATCTAATTGTAGGTGGATATGTATCTGTTTGTATGCTGAGTATCTTCTTGCTCTGTCATTTCGGGCAAGTTCTGAACATTAATTCGGACAGTTTCACACATATTCCATTCTAGAAAACAGAAACAATATTATTGTATAAAAATCTGAAGCCTTATGGGTTTTGAAAATAGCTGTGCTATCATTTTGGTTCTGGTTTCATAATAATTAAATGTCCATACTGAACAAATCACCTACTCTAGCTTCGGTGCAATGCTCAGTTTTCAAAATAGCTTATGACACATGAAAGCTGGTATTCTGCATTGAATTTATAATTTGACGTATCATTTGACAGCAGGCTGTCACTTCGTTTTCAAATACTTGACTTGGTATTAAACGATGTACAATAAATCAATTAAAATCTGTACTCATCTCTACAATATATGCCACTCCTAAACAGCACTTACACTAGTTCATTGTAAATGTTTTTGTATTGGAGCCAAGATATGATTTCTCATTGAAAATATCATAAAGTATAATATATATATATATATATAATTGTAAAGCAGAAAAAAAAGGACAAGTGTATGAAATTATTAATATTTCTTTTTTATAACTGTTTCTTCTTCCTTACAATTTAGTTATTTTTTCTACTGGGAGAATATCTATAATTCTTATAAATCCTATTTTATTAAAACTAACTTGACGTCAAATATTTAATACTCTCATCTCTGCATGCTTATATATTTATTGTGTATAAGAACGATTAGATTGAGTAAAACTGCATTTATAAGGTATCTGTATTTTCATGCCTACGTGTTTCGTGCCCCCTCCCCCAGTGGTACAGCGGTATGTCTACGGACTTACAACGCTAGAATCCAGATTTCGATACCCGTGATGGGCAGAGCACAGATAGCCCATTGTGTAGCTTTGTGCTTAACTTCAAACAAACAAACAAACAAAAACGTATTCCGTGCAGTCGATATTGTAAATATCTTAAAGTCACAAGAAATGATCAAAAACATTTTTTATCGACATCAATGCATAATTTTGAAGAGACGTAGCTTCTGTGTCTCCCTGACTTACCCCCTACATCCTTTGACTTTTTTGTAAAAGTTACAGAGTTGTTTAATATTCCAATTCAATTTTCAGCAAGACTTTAGAAATATTTCTTTGGTATTCCAAGGCATGAAGCAGAGCTCACAAATACGTGTTGATGTCTGTTTAAGAAATTTACGATTCTGCTGTAACTTCATGGCTACAACTCATAATAAAGAAATTACATCTTTTACTCTATCTTCGCGGTCACACATTATCATCTAAGAAATGTCATACTCTATTGCTGTTTCACTGTTGTAAATCATGATGTAACAAGTTCCATTTTCACTCTGACTTCGCGGTCACACATTATCATCTAAGAAATTCCATCCTCTTCTGCTGTTTCACGGTTATAAATCATGATGTAACAAATTCCTTCCTATACCCTGAGTTTGCGGTCACACATTATCATCTAAGAAATTCCATCCTCTTCTGCTGTTTCACGGTTATAAATCATGATGTAACAAATTCCTTCCTATACCCTGAGTTTGCGGTCACACATTATCATCTAAGAAATTCCATCCTCTTCTACTGTTTCACGGTTGTAAATCATGATGTAACAAATTTCATCCTCTACTCTAACTTCACAGTCGAAACTCTCTTTTACTGTGGCTTCATGGTAACAGATCATAACGTTTTTATTTCAGTTCTTTCAATCAACTGACTTTTTTAGTCCTTCGAATAACTGAAAAAAAACAAACACAAAAAAACACTTTGTCAAATCATAAATGTCAAATACGTCTTTATCAGTCCACCGTTGGCTCAGCTGTGAGCTTTGAGGGTTTATGACACAAGAAATCAGTGCTAGATCCCCACGGCGATCACAGTGAAGACAGTCTGTTATGCAAGGTTATGCTATAATATAAACAAACAAGTCCAACAATTATTTTACTCTAATATATGTTAAGAACGTACATAGTTTTGTAGAAACGTTACGATCTTAGAATTGTAATTGCCGAGATACATTATTCGTTTAGTGAGAAAAAAACGAACAGGTATAATTCATAATCATTGACATATGTTTTAAACAGGTTTATAGTTATCACTTTACTAGGTTTCATGGAATTAGTCATTGCTTTAGTAACGGTTTATTATTATAAAGCAATGACTAATTCCATGAAACCTAGTAAAGTGATATAATAATAAATCGTTACTAAAGCAATGACTAATTCCATGAAACCTAGTAAAGTGATATAATAATAAATCGTTACTAAAGCAATGACTAATTCCATGAAACCTAGTAAAGTGATAGTAACGATCTATTATTATATCACTTTACTAGGTTTCATGGAATTAGTCATTGCTTTATTAACGATTTATTATTATATCCTTCAGTTCAACTTTAAAGTCTTCTAATAAGAGATCTGAACAATGCATTGTATTAGTAGAGACACTGAACCTATACATCCTTCCATTTGTCTTCCATTTGACATTTAACTTCCCATAAAACTGCCACCAGTCTTAACTATAGAAGCGCGTTACAAGGGGAAATGAGAATCGATATTATTTCTCCTGCTAAAAACACACTAAGACTACATATAACTCAATGGATAAACAACACGTAATTTATATAACTCGTTTTTCAAATACACACAATCGGGTATTTCAAACACAGTCATATTAGACTGGCCTGTCGTATTATTAATGTTCAGACGCTTACTTTAACGACAGCTGTAATGAATGTGTAACAAACGTTATCTTTTCGATCACAATAAAGACACTAGGAATCCTTACACATCTAATGTTTAAAATATCGACACTGATAAATAAATATGGAGGAAACAACAGGGAAATTTAATTAAACTTGTAGATATATGATCTGCTATACTGAACTTCTCTTAGCTTTGTGTGTTTGGCACTCGTACTTAAATAGACGTGCTATATTATATTAAAGAAAACATTGACGGGGAATACTTAAGTGACACCAGATTACAGGAATATAAATGTTTGTGAAATCTTTTAACCTAGAAATTCCAAGATACATTAATGCATGTCCAAACTTTAGATGACATTTACTTGATGACCACTTGCTGATTCGAGTTATACGTAGTTTCTCCTGTCAAGGTATACTGTATTGAGAAACACGTCTCTTCCGAAAAGTGTTTGTTATAACTTACATATAGAATTGCAATAATAATATGCAAAGAAACAAAACGTACATTCTACGTTTTGTTTCTTTGCATATCATTATTGCAATTCTACGATTTCTTTCCCACACTTCCGCTGATGCTGTTTCTAAAATAGCGTATCTATGTAAGAAACGTACTAATACTTTGAAAAATTATTAAAAGGAAACCATTAAAACGAAGCTATAAATCTCCATGTTTTTGCGAACTAAATCGTTTGCACAAAGTAACGGATGTGATACAACGGTTATTGCAGTCGTTGGATTTCAGATATGAAAAGCGTTCGTTTCACCTAACACCATGATAGCATCTACTTACTTGTTATGAAACTTCAGCAAAGTTACTTAATTCTGTTTTTTAAAAATTCAACGCTTCCTTCCTCCGTTACCACGTCATTGATACCGGAGAAAGAAAATTGTCTATGTATCGCACTGGAAAAAAAGATTTTGGGAATTTGTCTGGCACAATTCCAAGCCTATTTTTCAGCACTGCACCAACTACTTTCTTTGATACTGTGTTATGGAATAAAATATCGTATAATAGTCAACGCAAAGGTGAAACGAGAATGACGCTGTTAACGAAACGTAGAGCACACCAAGCCTTAAAATCTAATTAAAAAAGTATTGTAGGTTAGGTGAAACCCGTATGTAACTCAACTAAAATCCACAGAGTCAATTTTGTTTTCTCAATGCACAAAATGTGATGTCGAATGATTGGAAAAAATTGTCAACTCTTACTCGTTATATTTTAATGTTACTTAATACCTGATCACACTGAAGAAGGATGTTACTTATATATTTAAAGATTTACTTTCTATACACTTGGTGGGGTATTCTTATGACTTCATACAAATTGGCCGAGGGATTTTTACTATTAATATTGCTAGGCACACTAGTTAACATATTCTAAATGTTATAAATAAATATTGCCCATCTGTGATAGTTTGGACAGTACACTTTGAACAGTTATTCATCATATACAGCTTATTTTAAACATGATTTATTATTATATCCTTCAGCTCAACTTTAAAGTCTTCTGATAAGAGATCTGGACAATGCATTGTATTAGTAGAGACACTAAACCTATACATCCTTCCATTTGTCTTCCATTTGACATTTGACTTCCCATAAAACTGCCACCAGTCTTAACTATCGAAGTGCATTATAATATAAACTTTTACAAGGTGATTTTGAGACTAGAGTATAATACAAACTCTTACACTGTAATTTGTGTTGGAAGTCTGTAATCCATATAAACACGTTATTGTACTGACATGTACAGAAATAAAGTATTATCTGAGTCGTTTTCTGGTACAAGTTGACGATTGCTTCAGTATATGTTGTTGGAATTACAACGCTAAAATATGTGGGTTCGATTCCCAGCGGTGAACACAGCCTAATGTGACTTTGGTCTAAAACAACAAACAACCGATGAAAGAGGATTATGAATTTTGTTATTTAATTTGCAGCTGCGTATACTTCATATTACACTACACGAACTTTTCACACTAATTTACACTCAGTAGAGATGTATTTTTTCATTTCACATCGTTTGGTTTAAATCTATGTAGATTTCTTATACTTTTTTTCTTCCATAAATGAGCTTTTATGTTTCCTTCGACAATTTAAAGTGACAAATACACTTACTTATGTCGATGTTAACAAATATTTGAATATGACTACTAACTTTTTCAAAGTGATTTTGAGACCAGAGTATAATAAAAAGTTTTGGAAGGCAAGTTTGAGATTGGAGTATAAAACAAACTCTTCAAAGTGATTTTGAGATGAAAGTACAATATATATATATTCGTACAAGGTAATTTTGAGACGAGAGTATAATACAAACTCTTACAATGTGATTTTGAGACGAGATTATAATACAACTCTTACCAAGTGATTTTGAGAAGAGAGTGTAATACGTGACAGATCGACATGTGTGTAACAGAATGAAAGTTTGATAAACATACAGTATAAAAGTTTCAGAAAAAGATATTTAATGGATTATGTAAAACTTTGTGTAGCTTAATAACATGCAAAACACATTGTGATTTGTGATGGAAGTCTTTAATTCATATAAATAAATTATTGTACTAACATGTGCAGAAATATAGTATTATTTAAGTCGTTTTCTAGTAGAAGATGACGATTGCTTCAATATATGTTGTTGGTTACACTAGTTTATTTATTAAAGAAAAACGAATTGGTTGTTTCGTGTCACATCAGAGTGATATAACATTTATACTTTTATTGGTGTTTGGAGTTATCACATAATTTTCCAACACTGTAAAAAAACGACAACTCAAACACGAAAACCATATCTTTAAAAAACGACATTACACAACGTTATATGATAGAGTTATGGAGCAAAGGCAATAAGAGCAGTAGTATATTTAGGAACGCAATACGGTTATGGTTTATTAGAAAACCTCTTTGCCCAAGAAACTTCGAAAGAATTCCACGTTTTCTTCAGAAGCTTTCGAAGAGCAAAAACAAAACAAAAATACTCCTTTAAAAGAAGGAAATCTCCTCTTCGTCTTTTGCTTTTGAAGGACAAAAGGACCAGTCATGTAAAAGAAGATTCGGATGGACAAAATATCACACTTCTAAGTACAACCCCTTCTTCTTCACGAGCTTCTGAGGAATCTGTCTCCAAAACTAAAATAATTAATATTTTGCCTTTTGTTAACTCTCAATTATTGGGATCACCTGAAACAAATCCTTTTTAAATATTTTCACATTTGCCTATAAATTAATTTGGAAATAGATCCTATGAAATAAAATAAATTAAGCCAATCGTGTTAGACGTGAAGAACTGAATTTAAAATTACTAGCAATATTTTAAAATATGCATTACTTCTTTAGTATAAAATGGGTTTGAATGCTGCTGCAAATGAACTGTTCCTTGCATTGCATACAATTAAAGAATTTATGTGTAAATTGTTCCTTTTCTTATAACTTCATGATTTTTCTCAAACTAATAATATAAATTCTTGTTTTTATTAGTAAAACCGTCTTCATTGAAGATAGAAGGACCAATTGTTCCCGTAATTTCAGGCCATACAGTGTGGCTCACTTGTACGGTAGAGGGCGCAAATCCTGCAGCAAACGTCACGTGGTATAATCACACAAAAGAGGTGGAGCCTCAACCTCAGTCTTATTCTGAAGTAATGAATGATGGCACTTTCAAAACAGTCAGTCAATTAGAAATTGTTGCTTCGTTGTTTGACCACCAGGGGACGTTTTATTGTAAAGGAACTAATCCAGTGCTGCACAAAAATGGCGACGCTGCTCTCTTAAAGTCATTTGATTTAGAAGTTTTACGTAAGTATCTTAGACTGAAATTACTGAATATATTTCAAGACTTGAGTAAACCATTGCTATATTAGGCATTATTCTAACAGTTGTTCTTGAGATAAAAAATATATCTCACCTGTTTATTTTTTGTAATCAGATAATATTTTATTTTTACGTTCAAATAAAATCAATTATATCTCTTCGTAACATCATTGATAATTATTTATATTACACAACCTAGATCCCCCTGTAGTAGAAGTCCAACCAGCGGGCGGCTTAGTTGTTAAGGAAACCAACGAGGCGAAGATCTTCTGCACATTTAAAGCTAATCCGTCCAATGTAACTGACGTCACTTGGTATAAAGATGATGTGAAAGTGTCCGTTAATGAAAATGAAAGATTTAAACTCAACGATCCGGGAGTACCAACACTGACCATTCGAAATGTTTCTCGATTTGACAGGGGATTTTACTTTTGTAGTCTCAGGAATAGCATTGGTGTAGGGAAAGCGGTCAACTCGGTAGAGATCAATATATTATGTGAGTATATAATATTTAATGTTATTATCTCCTTTCTGTGAATAGTTTTTAAAAATAATAACTTATCGTCCAACGAATAACATTTACCTTATAACTTTGTGAATGTGAGACTATATATGTGGGTGTTTGAGAAGATACATATTTATCTCCTTGTTGTTCGTTGGTTATTGAGTATTAGAAGGACGTTTATTATAAATTTGAACAAATATGTGAAATTAAATTCTAGTATCAGGGATTATGTGTTTGTATTGCTCCGTTGCTCAGTGGTAAACGTGAGGCCTAAAACACTAGAATCCAGGACCCAGTCCCGCAGTGGACATAGTGTAGATAGTCCATTGTGAGTTTTGCACTAAATACGAAAAACAAACAAAAACTGTACATATATTATTGGTCTATAATCAGATATAAATGTTTACTGGTTCTTTCTGGTAATTAACAGTGCCATTGTTTGAAATATGATGCCATTTTACCCTTTTAGTTTGTTTCTCTTTGTTAAGCAATGATTTTTAAACAGCATGATGTCATTTCGTATTGATCTCCATTTTACTCCTCTGCAGATATCATTCACACCTATATTTACAACTAGGTCATTGGCAAGATTTAAGTTGGACTGTAGTGTATCGCATAAATTATATACTGAAAGTTACTTAACTTTACAATTGAAGAGTTTGGGTTTTTTAATTCGATCGCTTTTATTCTGAAAAGCACTATCTTAACGTACATTTTTCTAGAATTTCTATACAGCTTCTACTAAAACATAACATTTCACCTCAATACGTCACTTACAATAGCATTCATCAAATAAAACTTTGATTTCTACATGTTTATCATATGGCATTCCTTTCCTGGGAGCCATGCATGTATCACTCACCGCACTAATGGGAATAGTATAGGTATCTTACTGTTTTGGCACAGTTTGATTAGTTGGATGGCAATCACTCACATTCTAAATTATCAACACATTATTGTATTCTAGAACAGTTCATTTTCATACAATAGACAGGGAGCAATCCCAAAATATTTGAATTTTATAACCATTTTATTCACCTATTCCATAATTATTTCTAATAGGGCGTATATGATTAAAATGCAATTAATTAGTGCCCTGATGCAAATCTTTAATATAATGAACATTCTCATTCGTTAAAGTTCAGTAAAATTTAATGTATTATGCAAGTAAAATCTGTTAATTATTATTAAATTAAATGATACTTCATATCCGCAAAATTAAATTTAACATGAGATATATATTTCACGAGTTAAATTGACATTGATAGTTACGTGTTGCTTATTGACGTTGAAGTTCTCGTGTTGTATATTCTACACTGTGAGAACTATAAGCTAGTCTTTCAGTACCATTTGTAAACTTGTTTGTCTTATACAGGCTATAATTAAACAAGAGATAAGATCATTTTCACCATGTATGACTCGTGTATCTTTTACTGAAAAAAAACTATGAGATACAGTTAAAATTAAAAAAAAATCATAGCTTTTAATCACCTTATTTAACTTATGTTAGCCATCATCCTATCAGCTACCCCCGTCCACCGTTGTTACAACACATGGAAACAAATATTTTCGGTATTGAAATGTTAAAAAACAAAATGTTATAGCGTTCTTCTAAAACTGAGTGCCTGAAATTAGGGTATACATAGTTTATATAAGTGTCAACAAATGATCTTACTTTATTAATACCAAGAGGAATGTAAGTCAAAAATACTTTATTACCCTCTAAGTCCAAGGGAAATATAGAAGACATGCCAGTTACCTAGAGTAGCATTTTAAATACTTATTAATAACATGAGTTCGTCTAAAATGTCTAAAATTAGAACGATATAGTAATTTTGAAACTATTTCTCAAAAAAAGAAAAGAGTTTTTGATGTATAATAACCCTTTGGTTGTTATTTTCCAAGTTTTGGATTCATGACGAAACTTATAGTTATAAGTAGGGTAGATATCCTAGAGAAATTAGAATGTTCTCCGGCGCTAGTATCATTAATACAGTGATATATTACTAAAGTTCTTGGGTGGATTTTACTTGATGTTGGATAGGTGGTGGCTAGTTACTAATTTCTAGAGTCCAGACGTTGTATAGGTGGTGACTAGTTACTAATCTCTAGAGTCTAGACGTTGGATAGGTGGTGGCTAGTTACTAATCTCTAGAGTCTAGACGTTGGATAGGTGGTGGCTAGTTACTAATCTCTAGAGTCTAGACGTTGGATAGGTGGTGGCTCGTTACTAATCTCTAGAGTCTAGACGAATATACATACACATTAATCTCTCGACAATCTCACTTAATATTCACTTGTGAAATAGATTATTTATTTCGTGGTCATTTTAAACCTCTAGACGATTTTAGTATTCATACGATTTACTTTCTACTCTATAATTTAATTTTAATATCTAGCTAACTTTACTTGCTATTATACAGGCGATTTTACTTGCTAAAGTCTAAATGATTTTATTCCTTACTTACTTGCTTATTTTTGAAGACTATATTTATTAATGCTAAATGTTCTTAATTGATACTCTCTAGATAATTTTACTACATAATATGTATATTATTTTACTTATCAAACCTTTAATATACTTTATTCCTTAGTCATTAGCTGAAACTACTGGTTAAGTTCTAGATAATCTTATTCGTTATTGTGAATAATATTTGTTGTTAAATTCTAGATGATTTTGGAGCCACTGGAGGATAGTACGTGGTAATTTATAAGCTAGGAGTTATTACATGTTAAATCTCCAGACTATTTTACTTGCTATTTACTAAGAAGTTTTTATTGTCCACTCAGACAATAAAAATACAGAAAATGTTGAAAATATTTAAAAAGCCAACTGAATCATATGATGGATTTTACTTGCTATTCATCAGACAGTTTAATCCCCCAAGTTATACCGTTGTAGAAAAAGAGTGATCGTTTTTTATTTCGTTGTTTTCAACAATTAACAAATAAGAATGAATAACTTGTTAGCTTGTTTGTTGTTAAGGTCTGCGGACTTAAAACGCTAGAAACCGAGTTTCGATACCCGTGGTGGGCAGAGCACAGATAACCCATTGTGTAGCTTT